TACGCTTGAATCAAAAGGTTACCAGCGCTTGGCCACTTACAGTACCTCTGAAGTGTAAAGTATGACCTTTGAAACACAGTGCACAACGATTGTTCCTCGTGTGACCAAGTTGGGCTATGCATTTGAAGAGAAATTTCCCTGGAAATTCTGTGGCAAATGAACAAGTCCGAGAATTAACGGACCAGCGATTATTACGATGTCGCCAGTTCACGTTCCACTCCGCAAGTTAGTGATAACAATGAGCATAGATATATTTCCAGTTGTTCATTAGCAATACTGAATTTATCGGGGCTTATGAAAACGCACGTACTAAGCAGATTGAAAGCGGAAGCGCAGAGACGCTTACCAAAAGTTGCATTGCACATGTCAAATTTTTCGGATGGACTCAGTAAAAGGTTCAACCCAACGGGAATCGTACGTCAGTGTCTTACTATATTACATCGGAAAGGAATCCGCGCATAGCGACAATCGTTTTATGAGCACATAATGGCTGCACCCGAGACGTACGATACAGATTTCACATAGCTTATGGCCACAGCAGAGTACATATCGGTAGGTAGAAAAAGTTGAGTACTTGAACATTTGCAAAACAATGCGAACACTGTTTGGAAAGTCGCATGGCTGACAGTGGGCAGCGGGACTTAGTTGATGTCACCAGTCAATATCAAAGGTTGCGCATCAACCGTTCTTTGAATAATTGCACATCCCTCGAGCAGCAGATGAGCGAACCGGTCGGCGACCAGGAGAGCCAGAAGTGGACACTGCATCGCATGCTGTGCGATCTCCCCCATCAGCTACGTAAACCAGACTGTTCATATAGACGGCAACATCTAAGTGCACACCATTTTACGGTACCACTTGTATTTTTATCATTTTACCTAGCAGTTGCTTCACTATACCTATATCGGGTTCCTTCAAATACGGATGCTCGACTTAAGGCTGTCACGTCTAAATGTTGAAGAAAACATCAACAGTTCATATTGGGCACTTATTGTCATGCCTGCGAAAGTTGCTGATGGCCTGACCCCCAAACGAAACCCATATACGTTTGTAGTACCATTTATTATGAGGTCAAATGTCTCTATGCAGTTTTTGACAGATCACACTTGAGTTTGGATAAATGCAGGTTCACGTGTTGTATTCGAACTGTCATTGCACAAGGATGGCGCAAATCCATGTATGTAGATATGTATACCGAATGAATTCGACGAGGATACCCATACCGCTTTTGTACAGCCTACTTAGTGCAGTAAAACGACATTCGAGCAAACGGAAAATAACACTACCAGAATATGAAGAAGCTGAACTTATGACATGCTCATGTTGATTTCAGGTGTTGCGAATTCAAAGCAAATTTGATCGATGCGAATTTCGTGGACTGTTCAAAAGTCGATTGCTCAGGTGCGAGAGAAGGCACTATTGCACGCGGAACAGAAGCACGATGAGTACGCTCCCATTCGATTTACTAATCCAGGACAATAAGGCGGCGTATATGGTACGTTTGCCTGTGTGCTGAGTAATTCTGCATTTCAGAAGTAGATGTTGTTTGAGCTCCCAGGTGTGGATGCGCCTGAAGTGCATGTTCACAAGGTGTCTACCTGGCTATTACCCACTACCTCGTCCATACTGGCTCCAGGAGACAGTTGGTCGTTGCTGGAGGGGACGGAGTGCACCGTCCTCGTGACGGTGTTAGGCTCAAAGTGTGGTTGCATCCTGGGTGGAACGGGCTACGGTCCAGCCACCGCCATGTGCACGTCTGGTGTGCATGATTTCCCAATTAGGACGGAATGCTTCTGTTCTGCTTGTTGAAGGAGAGTGGGCCGGCTCCGTTGATGAAACGTGGCTGCCATCCACATAACTCCCGGTCTTATTCGTTCGGGTTCACACCGGATATGGGGTGTGTGGGTGGTGTAGCGCAAGCCACCCATAGTCCCTCTGCAGGCGCAGGGGTCCTGTGACTGTCCCCATGGAGGCCACAGTGACAGACAAATCCGGATACCGATTCCGTCATACAATGTATATATATATATATATATATATATATATATATATATATATATATATATATATATATATATATATATATATATATATATATATATATATATTGATCACTGTGCGAACATTGTGCCAGCTAGAACGAGCGATGCTGAAGTCGATTGCCACAGATCAAGCTCGATAACACGCAATCGACCCGTCAGTTCAAATGTCAACTTTTAGCCTCCCTCACTGATCCGTTAATTAACTATGTAATTTGAGCCAATGAATCGATTTCAGTTCATTATTATACCCTTAAATATGATTGTAATGGTCTGAAGAGAATCGTCGAAAACAAGTGTTCACCTATAGTATCGTGTTCTTTTGACTCTAAATGGGAATTTTCAAGTTGCTTAAACTATCCAAATCTCCCTGTGATAAAAGAGCTCAATCAGTTCCTGAGGTTTTCCACGAAGCTTGCTGAAGCCAAAACCAGTGTTCAATTTTTCGATGAGTGTGTTGAGCTTAATGAGTATCCTGCTAGATTTTAGAAGCAGCTACGTCGTAATCGGATTTATCCTAATAGCAAGACGCTTAGACGACATGCGTTTAATCAACGTGATACGGTGCAGTCCAAGATAGCGGAATTCAAAAGGAATTTAACACGCCACATAACAAAGGTGGATTAGCCGCAGAAGAAAAGCAAATGTTCTTGGATTATGTCCAGTCTATTACCAGTAGTCGTGTACATCGGAGGCATTTGGCTTTAGAAAAAACGCTGAGCCAGTTAAAACCGCAAGCTGTGTTTCCGAACAAGTCCGAAATGTACGTACACAACTTTTCTAGCGTGAAACTGGATACAACTTTAATGGAAGTTCTATCGCTCGATTTAAAATTTTGTGCACCTAGACGTAGAGACAACTAACTTCATTACGAATTGCAAATCGAAAACTTATATCACCAAACGAATGGGTTAACACCTACGTCTAATATGGATCTCGAACGCTTTAAGTGTTTCTTGGTACATTGTTGCTATCAATATCGTAAACATCGTGTCCATAATCGTGGTCCATTAACAAGAGAGCATTTAGACGCGCCGAAGCAGCTTAGACGCAACGAGGAGGTCATTCTGTGCAAACTGGACAAAGGTGTCGGTATTGTGTTAATAGACAGAAAAGACTGTATTGATAAACTCACAACCATTCTGAGCGATAAGACGAAGTTCTCCTGCGACACGAAGGAAGCTGACCAAACGGAACAGATTGAGAGACAGATCACTAAAAACCTCCAACAGCTTCGGGCCAAGGGGTACATAACCGATGCATTGTATGACAGTCTTAGACCTTGTGGCACAAACGTTCCGAGAATTTACGGCTTGCCACAAATCCATAAGGTCGACATCCCGCTTCGTCCTATTCTGTCAATGGTTAACTTCCCCTACCACGCAGTTGCCCAGTGGGCTGGTAGGAATTCTTGAGCCGGTGAGACAGCAGCTTGCGACTTACAGCCTGCACGACAGTTGCCAGCTAGAACGAGCGATGCTGAGGTCCAGTGCCACAGATCAAGCTCGATAACATGCAATCGACCTGTCAGTTCAAATGTCAACTTTTAGCCTCCCTCACTGATCCGTTAATTAACTATGTAATTTGAGCCAATGAATCGATTTCAGTTCATTATTATACCCTTAAATATGATTGTAATGGTCTGAAGAGAATCGTCGAAAACAAGTGTTCACCTATGGTCTCGTGTTCTTTTGACTCTAAATGGGAATTTTCAAGTTGCTTAAATTATGATATAATTGGCTGAGTGGCACAACACGTAAGAGGAAAAGATAGACTGAAATGGAAAACAACTTTTAGGATAGAAGAGTCTCACAGCAAGTGCGCCATTGCATACGGTGCTTCACCATATCCTCCAGCGTTTGCAACCACATGTGCTTGGGGTCCCCAACCCGAGAGTCGGGAACGAACGACAACAACCAGCTTCAACGTTTGTGCCTCAACGCATTGAATGAAAGTTTTACATTACTCTCCTTTTCGTCGCTTCTAAGCCACGCCTGTGTTCACGAATAGGGCTCGTCGTGGTAGCCGCTGGGTAGGTATGCGGAGCACATGCCCAAGCCAGCAAAGCCTTCGTAGTGAAATGATGCTATCAATCGATCGGCGGAGTTCGTCAGATCTGAAGACTCGCCGACAGACTTCCCCATTACTGATGTGATGCTGCCATCGAACACCAGCAATGCTTCAGAGGCAGCGGTGATGGGAGAGAGATAGCCGCTAAACATCGCTATTGCGAACGGGCCAAGTCTCAAAGCCGTACAGCAGAATCGCTCGTACCGTAGCATTGTAGACTCGTCCCTTGAGAGCGAGGCCGAGGTCACGACGAAGCTACAGGTGAGGAAGATTAGCTGAAGCGACTCTAGCTTTGGTGACACGCAGAGAGATCTCATCTGCTAAACCGCCAGTACTAAGACAACTCCCAAGATGAATGAATTTGTCGACCACTTCCAGCGGAGGCCCCACCCTTGGTAATCATCATCCGTGTGCGAAACTGGAGAGCCGAATGTGAACAACGTTTCGATGAGACCGTTTGTACTTCCGACAGTAACGGCACCCAAAATGTAGAAAAGAAATGGAAGGCAATGAGCGTAAAAGTATACTACAATGAAAGCATAAATCACATATGTGCTTAAGAACAATACCGTGACAGAATAAAAATTGCAACGTTTCGTTGGTTCAGTGTGTCAAATGCATAATGTAGTCTCGCATGTGAGCTGGTATGTCAGTCTGAGTTAGAGCCTGTTGTAGTCATGTGTGGATTCAAACGGGAAGTTTGAGCTAGAGGAAAAATATATGCGTGGGTGGAACGCAGATGCTCATAGTGGCTGACATACTAAGAGAGAGAGAGAGAGAAGAACTCTAGGCTGGAACGGATGGTACCCTGTGTTGAGCTGAGAGAATATACATAGCACATAGGTGCCACGGGGTGGGGGGCAATAAAAAGTGTTGAGAAGAGAGTAGAGATCAATGAGGTAGTTTGAGAAACAGCGGTGCCTTTTCCAACTGCTCGCTCTCCGCTTCGACTGCATCGTGAGTATTCTGTTGTGCAACTCCGGACGAAACATCAGTCTGGGGTGGAACGGGAACACTAACCGAGTCAGACGTAGTGCGGGGCATAGTAAAGAGTATTCGGGTGGCTTCACGCAATGTGGTCTGTTGAACAGACAGAAAAGAGATGAAGTGGAGTGGAGAAGCGTTTGATAAAATAGAATGTCCGACCAGCATGTGAGTTGGGCAGATGACTAAGCTCAATATTCTCAAAAAAATTAAATCAATAAAGGTAATGATGCACGTTCTGAGAATCAAAGGAAAGAAAGCTGGTCCTCCGGCAGTAAATGCTTCTTTGTGCATATCCGGGGCTACATTAGTGTGGGGAGGGAGGAGATGCACAGAAACCCGAAGCTGGACAAAAACGTCAGTTGCATGGAGCGAGAAATTTTCCTATTCGTATAGTTCAAAGCCTACACAAAAATGCGCGTACAAGCTAGTTTGTCGATCCCCACATGCCAATCGCAAATGTCATAGGTTAATACTCATTCTGACCTCCGAGTGCATGTAGATAAAGTCACCATGTTGATAAGTCAGAGTTAGCCGGATAGACACCGTTGACATGGTTACTTCTAAGGCTTACTCACAATACGCTTAGTTAAACAACGGCGACTTGGTGATATCTAGCCATGACAGAGGAAACGAGCTTACCGGCATTACCCTGTAGTCCCGTTGATGACTTACACGAGTGGCTTTTGGTAGTGTGTAAATCAGCGTGTAAGTGATGAGCTCATTTTGTGTTTGGCGCACTTGTGATACTCTGTTGGAGTGAGGAGTGCGAGAAAAATAAGCGGAACAGCAGCCGCTATTAGACGCGGCATGTATAGTGACCGACTTTAAAATGTCTGCCGGCCGATTCACAGTGAGATCCCTGGTTGTAGGTTGATTGGGGCACCGCCAGGGCACCCAAAACAGAAGATGGGTGGTAATGAAAGCCGCTCTGCTTCCAATTCCTAAAGTGGATGAGCAAGAGACTGGGACTGGCGAATACTTAGACATCGATCAATGTAGTATGAATAGCATCCGAGTTTCCAAATAAAAGTGCATAACATACACAATGGATTCAAAGTGCACACAAAAATTGCTCGGAGAGAAGATTCCGTTTTGATACGATCGGCCTCGAGATGTGTCACACAAGCTTTCCTACCGTTTACCGAAGACGACCTGTCTTGTTTACGGGAGATCGAGTGATAAAAGCTCAGAGGCGCTAAACTTCGAGTCGGTAGGGGGGGGGGGAATGAAGCAACTGAGGATAAAATATGCGACGCTAATGCACCAAATTCTTCAGCCTGAGATCCACGTAGCTCATCCTGTGTTTCCCTCGAGAAATTCCACGATAATGTTCGTAACCCATACCAACTGTGCGTTTGCTATTGACTCCAAGTCGACCTATCTGTGGTAGCAGTGGAAGCTGTGGGAAAAAGAAATACTGGATGCTGCCCGCTCGGCATGTCGTTTCAGACACGATCACAGCAACCGAACTGATGGATGCTCACTTCAAAGTAGATGGTTGTCAGGACTGCGATTGCCGGTAGCAATTCAACGTGTACCTCAAGGGAATAAAGAAGCTAACTCACCGCTACCGCTATTGTTCACAGATAACCCTCGTCGTGTGGTGCTGATAAAGTGTGGGCGCTTTGAGTTTAAATATTTGCATAAGGCACCCAGGTGCGACAGTAGACCTCACTTTCAGCCATATTATTATTATTATTCACCAGTAGGGTCACCATCATGCCAATTGCGGATGGTGACCATAACGGCGCGGTTCACAACCTTTTCGTGTGCAGGGGAATGTGCAGGCTGAAAAATTGCTCAATATGCGTAGAACACGATATTCGATGGGATTGGATGTATGATGAGTTAGGCGAGGGCAGATTGACCACAGTGACCTGGGGACGTGCTTCAATTTTCACAACAGTGCGGGGATGATCACGGATACGATTTACGTGAAGTGACGGACGGGGGATGAGTGGTTTATACCGGAGTAAGAGGCGCCAAATGAGTGCCAACGTAGATGGCTAACGCGTTTCCATCAGAATCAACAACAAAGCCGGCACTGGATAACACGCATGCTCAAAGTTTCCAAGTGGTCTGTCGCCTACACCATTGATATCACTTAACTAAAGAAAAGCATCTGCACTGGCATTTCTTTGGCGTGGTTAATCTAACTCCCATGTAAACCAGTAATCCAGTACTCAATTTTGGGTTCACCTTAAAGCGAGGAAGCCAATGCTGAGCACTGTAGGCGACAAACCGCTTAGAAGCCTTGAGCAAACGTTTTTCCACCAAAGTGCACATGAACATGGAATTGGGACAAGGCAAAAAGTTGGGTAAACGGCAATGGGAATCACAACGAGCGGATCACTGAAGGGGACGAAAATATTATAGGACAGCATTGGGGATTCTTCTACAGATGGATCGAATGGACGTTTGCAGACGTGCGTCCATGCACAATGGATGCGGTAGGGCAATATTGTGAATGGAAAGAATGGGTGCCAAAGAGGTTGTTATGTAGAGGTTTGGATCAAGTGACGAAGTGAAGACGCGCACACACGCGCCCATGTCTTATGGCATTGAATGCGCTGGACTAGAACCCCGTACACACGCAGCAATCACCAGGAGGCCGTTTCGACTAGACCTAGCACAGGCGGGACAAACAAGTGTGAAACTGACCTGAGCTGAAACGGTCCGTTGGAACCCAGTGTTGGTCTCGTCGGATTCGTTCGAAGCATCTGTCAAACCAGAGGCACCTTCATTGGGACAAAAGGAAATCATGATTGACTTTAATTGCGAGAAATAGATTAGGAAACAATCAGTGCCATAATACAATAGACGGAGGAGCATCATGGTTCGCACGGATAGTGAGAAAGTTTACACCAATCCGAGTGAATCGCGATCCGTTAGTAATTTATTATCCGCACGCAGGTTCCACAGGTGATGCGTATGGCCGCCACATGGCTGGGTGGGCGTGATAGCAGTTCTCAAAAATAAAAAACGATAATCCCAGGTTGCTGGTCTTTGCAATCGTATGAGTGGCTACATCATCTCTGGTGGTTGTGGTCACAAGTGTTAGTGAGGCCGAGGTGGATTTTTAGAGCATGTACCACATATGCAGACGGTGGGGAATTCAGCAAATAGTGCACAACAATGTCAGGAAGTCCAAGTGAGAGCCGATTACTTCCAGGTAGCCGGAAACAGCACCGCACGGAATCATGAGGCTACATCATTCATGTGAGCTGGGACATTTTGCTAACCGTCTAATTCGTTTACTGTCCGTCAATCCTGCCAGTAATGCAGCCGCGCATTCACGTGACCTCGTGAGGACGAAAAGCGTGAAATAGCGGACTCCACTGATACCTATCTTCTCTTGAAGCAAGAAAAATTCTCAATAGTTCCAAATAAAAATATCTGAAGACGAAGATTTTATGGTAACATCACCTTTTCACGTAATCTTGTAACCATATACACGCAACGAATGATAGGCATAAGGAGACACGGTCACGTGTGATTGATTGCTGACCAAGTGACTGTCGACTGGCCCGCGATACCGAAATGGGTTCGATGCCATGAGCACCGGTGAATGATGCATCCGGATTGCACTGGTGACCGGTGTACGGCAAATGCTAAGTGATGGCTGAAAAAAGTGTTAGCTCTCCATCCATACATCTTCTTGCCCCTTGGTTGGCTCTCTGCGATTGCTTAAATCTGTGGTTACGGGAGGCACCATTAGGAGCAAAAGAGTAAGCATTACCACTCTGCAATCTAGTCAAACTACACTGCATGTCTGTTCCAATGAACCGAGAAATGTATGTCGTGCTGTTCCAGACGGCCGTAGGCACATGCAACGGGATCGCGATCCTGTTGGCCAGTACCCTCTGCACCCACTATGTGCAGATGCAAACAGTTGCCGGTGCAACCTGTGCGAGCTGACTACACGTGGTTTTATCGTGCAAATGTGTTGCATCAAAGGGATGCACATTACGGTTGTGCATTTGTTGCCAGGCAGTCAGATGTGATGAGCCGATTCGCAGCAAAACAAATAGCAGCACAATGGAAAAAGACCGCGGCACAGTTGCAATGGCGGGAAGGACAGACGGTGAGGGTAGCCTCGGATACGAGTGAAGGATATCATCTGCGCTTGATAGAAATAATAATAATAATAAAATTTTTTTCTTTTTTATACAAAGTGAACAACTCCATTAAAAGCGTGAAATCAATTGGACCGAATACAGCGAAGAGAGCATTCAACATCGTCCAGCTACCAGTTATGGTTCCTTGTGGATTTTGCTCCCAACAATGTACGATGTTAAATGAGGCACGGGAAATCAAAGTTTTGGGAAGTGTCCACTAGGAAGAACTATTCTTCCCTTCTGATCAGAGATTAAGCCTATCAAACAACATGTCGGTTGTGAGGACCACGTGAAGTGCGGCGGTAGCCAGACACATGGAGGTAAAAACAACCGGGTGAAAAAATGGGGCATAAAATAAGGCAGCAACGCTACGATAGCTGAGAAGGATTGAAATCTCTAGTTAACACAAATGTAATGTGAAAACGTGTGAATATGTGCATTCGACATACCTGAATGCACAACCATGTACAGCCCACCAGCGTCACCTTCGCCAATGCGATATTGGCCACGAGTGCTATCCTGTTGGTCAATGCTGAAAGTCTGAGATGACAGATCTCGTCCTCCGCCGTCTGACAGCTCCAACAAATTAGCCAGCCATCTTACTGCAGGCTCCCAACGGTCGGGGAAACGAGATAAGTACGACATGACTGCATGTGTCTCAGAAGAAACTTCAACAATGAATTTCATGCATTGATAAGCTCGGCGGGCATCCTGACACGAGTCTGTAATTATGAGCTCTAATAATGGGAAAGTACATGAAGAGAAAAACGTTAACTTGTCAAACAATGAGATGTCCGACACTACAAAACTGTCTTGAAAGATTTGAAAGAGTAATCGCTGGGGTTGTAAGTAACAATGATGTTGAACTTAGTAAGTCAACGCAATGAGAGCAGTCGATGACACAGCGGAACGGAATGGGGAAACTAAGTGAAAGAATTTGTAGTGGGCTCGAACATACCCATGTGCCAAGGGAGCAATCACTGCAACAAATGGGGATTCGTTCGTTTATCGTGCAGTCACGAAACTAATGACAACTTTGAAACACAATCGCCGCCTCAATATGTCGGCCTTTGCTTTTAGACTTTTATCCAGAAATAAGTGTTCTCGCCGGTCACTTCCCCATGGCTGTTCGTAACTGGGGTAACTGCATTTATCACGCTTTGGAGTGCGAATCTCTGGCAAATAGCCGGATGGAACAGAACAGAAGGCCATTGAACACCCAAAGCAGAATTCAGATGCGTTGTGCGGAAAACGCTGCGTTTTAGTGCGCTTTTCTGATGCCGAACACATACTGTTCACGCATCCGTTTCGAAGGCTCAGTTATCTCATACGCACAGTGCGCCACAATGCTTCTGTAAGCCTGCTGTAAACAAGCGCAAGGTTCTTACGGTGAATCACTGCAATCAGAAATTTTCGCTTACAGACCGGGTGTCTACGTAGGAGAGAAGAGATTCGTAACGAACACAATGTGCGGAAGGGTAACATGCAACGCCGAAATAACATAGGATTTAATGAGGGACAAAGCGTCATTTGTTAAGAACGAGAAGAAAACCGATACAGCCCATAGAGTTCGTAGATTGACTGAACGATAGGCCCCACTGAAGAGGTGGTAGTTTTAATCGGCGAGAATTCATATTTGGACAACCGTCGAAACGTACCTAAAAGACCTCTCGGTAATGACGGCCAAGGATGAATTTCTTCCTCCAGCGGCAACATGTTGGTTGGCCCGTGGGAACCACCACACGGACGATGCCCCGCGTAAGAAGCTGACGAACGCTGCAATTCTTCGGCTTTCCAAGCCCAGAGTTTCGGGTCCACAACGGGTCTCGGACACCACTTGGGTGCCGAACACCCGGAGTATTGCGGAGGAAGAGGCGAATTGTAAAGTCCATCGACAACGGCAGAGATGCGTGCGTTTTGCAGCGGGTCATTCAAGCGAAGCAACTCGTTCAGCAGATCAAACAAATGTCGTAATTCGCTTTGCGGACGCGTGCTTATCTTCGATAGCAGCTGTGCAGAAAGTGTTAAGATAAAAGCAGTGGTAACTACAAACGTAAGGTAGAGAGAGATAAGAACATTCGAAATAAATATGACCATACACCGATGAGTCTTCAAACGAGAAAACACTACGATGTTGGTATGGAGTGGGTAATCTTGACACACAGTGGCCTGATTACCACTGCAACGTTCAAGATAGGAAGCAGCCAAAGGAATAAAATCAGCCGCCGCATGCGAAGGGACTGGAAAGATGCTGGACGTTTGTCAGAGTAAGAACCAACGCTACACTCATGAGTGGAAACTGCCCTGATGCACCGTAACGTGACAAATGAAATGAATTCATAAAACCTAAACATAATGACTCCACCAGATGTCAACCGCGTGTCCGAATCAGCCTAACAGCTGAGGCGTATGTCGAGTTGTGTATGGATACTGTTCGCGTCACCAGCGATTGATGGGTCTGAAAACGTAACTCATGTATACCTCCGTTGTGCATACAGTATGATTGCAAGTACCGTACAAGCAAGGTGTGTGTGTGTTCGTCGACACATCCATTATTTCCTCCAAATTACGTGCAACGATTGTTGCAGCCAAAAGCCGTCAGATAAACGTATGAAGTCTACCAAAACAGATCGCGACCAAGTGTTAAATTGTGAGCAATTGTTGACATATTTCCACGCAACCTGACCTAGAGTACATTCAAGGTTCAACGCAGCCTTCCTCCCACTCCCCTCTCTCTGACAATCCATCAACATAGCATCCTAATTTTCTAAAAACACGACACCAGTTGAGGCTTGTGATCCGCTGACTTGGCGCTACGAAGACCCACACGAGTGTATAATGGTTGTGGAGCCATCGAAAACTCAATGACAGAAAGAGTTGCGAAACGAGGAAAGCCTCCAGATGCCGATCAACAACAAGACAGGTCAAGCAAGATTAGAGGCCACCGTTCTCTAGCAGGAACCGCCTCAAATGATAAGAAACGATCAAATCTGGTGCTTCTCCATGCGCCTGAGTCAAACGATACTAGTCTTCAGGCACGCTTTGAACACGATATTGAGTTGTTGCAGAGCCTGGTTGACAGGCTTCCTGATGTGGGTTAGAGGACAAGGTGAAAGCGAGGCAAGTTATCATCCGCCTCGGCAAAAAACCTGCTGAGAACGACCGATCTATGCGTGTAACTTTTGCCGATGAGACCAGGGGGCGAAAGTGTGCATCTTGATCCGGATATGGATCCTACTGACCGATAGCGTCTCAAGTGTGCTATCATGGTTTGCCTTTTGCCATTAATTCTGCCCATGGCAACTTCCAGAGAAGTATCGACAACTATGTGAAGGATATACCGTCCGCTTTTGCTTATCTGGACGATATCCTTATTTCGGAGGGGGGGGCTGTAATACGGAACTGCTTCAGACACTCGCTGTCGTGCTTGAGTGACTGGAACGAAGCGGATTTATTTTAGAGAAATGCAAATGTGAATTCCTGTCTTCATCCGTTTGCTACCTTGCCCACCGGATGGAAAAGCGTGGGTTGTTTAGTTTGGATAACAAGGTGAAGCCTGTTACAGAAAGTTCGGCGCCGACGAACAGTGATTAACTTCGTTCATGTTTAGGAATGCTATCTCACTATTGCCGTTATTTTTTTGCCAAATGCAGCTACAGTAGTATCACCATCAAATGAACTGCTGCATAAGAATGTGTCATGTTGCTGGAATTCTCGTCACAGGAACGTCTCCATTAAAGGTAAACAAGCTCTTGCTTCTCCACCGAAATTAGCTCAATATAATCCTAACCTACGACTCATTCTTCAGTGTGAAGGAGCAATTCTGTGCCACGGTGAAAATGATGGATTCATACGTCCCATAGCATTCGCGTCGCGTACATTACAAACAGAGAAGAAGAATTATTCACAATTGGACAGAGAAGCGCTGGCTGTAATCTTTGGGGTAAAAAAAGTTCCACCAGTATTTCAGGAGAAATTTTTTGGACTATACACTGACTATAAACCCTTATTATCTTTACTGAGTGAAACCAAAGGTACCAAACAAATGATGTCACCAAGAATGCATAGATGGGCTGTAATCTTGTGTGCCCACAGTTGCAAGATTGTCTATATAACAGGCATCAACAACTGCACAGTCGATGCATTAGGCCATCTACCGGCAACTGAAGCTGTACAATAGTACGTAACTCCATTTGAAATGGTAAATTTAATGCAACATCTAGCTATAACACCAATATGTAGCGCAACAATCCGCCAATGGACAGACCGGGACCCAGTGCTATCAACAGCAAAACGCTTCTTGAGTGTAGGTTGGCCATTTGAAGCAACAGGCGGTTTGCAGTTGTTTATAATGCGCAGAAACGAGCTGGGAAGTTTGTTATTAACAAAATGATCCGACATATCAAAACCGCCCCGTATCATCCTGAATGGAACGGCTTAACAGAACGGTCTATGCAAACCGTGAATCAAAGCCTACTAAAGCAGCGAGTGGGAACTTTGCAAACGAAATTGGATCGTTGCCTATTTGCTTATCGTTCTACACCCACTGAGACGACCGGTAATTCGTCAGCGGAATTAGTGTTCGGTAGAAATAGCAGGAGAAGGCTTCATTTGTTGTCTCCGAAGTACAGGAGCGACAGCGGAAGTCCAAGTCATCAGAGGAGCAAAAAATGAAAGCACATTCAGAAAAGATCAGTCAATATACATTTGGCTACCGCATGAACAATGTTGGCAACCAACAACTGTGCTGTGTTCTGCAAGAAGCCAGAACGACTTGTAAGTTCCGGATGGTCCGGTCGTCCGCTGACATTGGGACAAAGTACGCCCCCGGCCGAAGCGGAAGCACATCATTATCATCATTATGCACGTTAGCTAGAGGTGTAAAGCAACTCGGCTACTGTGCCGCAATACTTAAAGAAAAAAATTAAATGCAACAGTTGCATGCTAGCTGAACTACCAGCAACGGATGGGCATCGTTCCGGAAAGCAACCAGCCGGCTACTATCCAACAAGAAAAATTGTTATGTAAAATTATATTACGGAACTACGGAACGATGCCTATCCGTTGCTGGTAGCTCAGCTGGCATGCAACTGTTGTATCTATTTTCCTTTGTGTATTGTATTATATGTATGTATGTATTTCCTTCATGTATTGCGGCACAATAGCAGAGGTGTTTTCCCACCTCTAGCTGATGTGTATAATGAATGATAATGACCTGTCACCAGTTTCCCGTATCAGACGGAATAACTTACGATGGTTACCAAAGGCAGCGGCCACTTCCATCTCTGACGCACGATGAGACCACCAAGATTCGAGGTCTCTCTTTAGGCTATCACGGAGTTTTGCCCGGAGCTTTTTGCGAATTTCATTGTGTTCGCTTCCAGCCGGAATAGGCCGGCGAGCATCGATAGGCTCCAGAGACCGCGAAGAGACCCAATATCCATGGTGACAATTAGACTAACAACATGAGGATTTGCCTGCTGCTAGTAAGGTCTGGTGAACATGCGACCAGTGACCTTAAATAGTCTCCAGTGAGCGCGTACACAAATCGCATGTCAGCTACTTTGATAGGCATTCAGAACAGCAGGCTTCGTCAGTTGGCTCACAGCGTCGTCGTGGGCGTCCGCCAAAAGCGCATCCGCATGTCAGCACATACAAGTGCATGGTCGGTGTTCACACATGTGCTCCAACTCGAGCGACAGTTCTGGACGCAGCCTCTCCATCGGTAACTTATCGCAATGTGATCGATTTGCGTCCATAGCTGGTTCGAGACTGGTGGGCACCAAGTCACCTTCCGGCGAGTGCTGTGTCGGAAGTTAGTGCGGGCATGTTCACACACATGAAGTAACCGCTCACCGTTATCATTACGAGAGCCTACACCGTGCTGACCACCCAGATGCATTTCATCAGTGGACAACTTTCCAACTCGTATGTTCAGATCCCCCGCCAGCACAACAGTGTCGGTGCTTCTTCTGTGACGAGAGAGCTCGTTCAGTTGGCGATAGAAGTCGTCTTTTACCGAAGCATCACTACAGTTTTTGGGCGCGTAGGCAGCGATGACGAATAGACACTTGTTAGTCCCCAGCGAATTCGAAGCCTTGAACGCGTCTGCCAATCGGACCACACACAACCGGCTACTGATTGGAATCCAATCAACCAGGGCAGCTTCAACCCGGGGACTCAGGACAATGCCAACATCAGCTTGGCCGGGGCTCGAAGCTGCATCGTCACCAGATAGGTGCAATGAGAAAATACTGCTTGCGTCCCCTGAAGGAGATCACAGAGTGAGCACAGAGCTCGAGTCTGGCAGGCGGGTCTCCGATAAGCAGAAGGTATCGATGTAGAGGGTCTCTAATGTGCGGGCAAACGCTGCCTGTTGACCGATCTGTAGCAATGTGGGTACATGGAGGCTTGCCAATCTGAAGGGGGATCGAGGGCTCCAAATATAAGTCGATGAACTGGAATGGACCGCTTGGTTAGACACGGGCTTGTCGACAGGACAGGAGTGACGCGCCGCGTTTGCATGTGAGTTGAGATTAGAAGATAAACGCCCAGCAAAGTATGTTGGGGGACGGCAAAGAATGGGAGGTTTGAAAACAAGGGGGACAACTGTGAAGTTGGAACGTAACCATAAGGGAGAAAAAGCGTAAGAGGGGGAAAGAGAAGCTGGGAAGGCTAAAGCAGTAACATCCAAACTCCTATACGCCCTGCTTGATGTAGCCGATAGGGTAACGTTGATTATACTCTGTGCTGGCCAGAGCATCAGAAATTTCTTTGAAGAGAGATTCATTGCATTGTGCGAGCAGGATACTGTCAGATTCCCCAGGACTAGAGATGAAAACGGTTAAAGTTCTCAACCAAAGCCTTTGGCTCAAAAGCCAGACCGCAAGGCAGCGGGTATGACGGTGCCACCATCATTCCAAACCCCAACCTGGAGGATCAGGAGGTTGAGTTTATCTGGCGTTTAACCATTGAAAAATCTGGTATGAGTGTCTCTGAAGGGGCAAAAA